ATGTAAAGCTCTATAAAATCTTGTAACTGTGTATCCAACTTTTAATGCCTCTTCCAATTCAAGTGATGTACATGTAGAGACCCAGCCTCTCTCCTCATCATTGTGCGGGCAATGGTAATCTTTGATATTTGCGCCATTTGGGTACATGAGTGCACATTTTCTACATAGTGGGAATAGAAGTCTTTCATCAAACTTAACTGGAATTACAGGAACATCCAGTTGAGGCGGTGGTAGCAAAAACACTTTTAAAATTCCTTTGAACGGAATCTGCTCACTTCTTGTCCAATAAACTTTTTGTTCAGCCAATGGTACAACAATCACTTTCGGATGCCCAACAGGAAATGATGTTGTAGCAATTGTTGAGGGGTAAAGTGAATTAAAGTCTAAGTAGGCAATTTTGTGTTGTTCTTTTTCTGCGTCAAAGTGCATGTGTAGTGGTCCAGTTCTCCCGCCAAAATAGCAGTCTCTAATATTGATTGGTCCTTTGTTGTGGTAATTTGCAAAAGCTTTCCTCATTTTCTGATTGCGACGAAGCATCTGATGAATTTCACATTCCCATATAATATCAACATTCTTTATATATTTTTTAATTATTTCCATCCTTTTCCCATCATCTTCACGTGTCTCTCCCACAGTTTTTCCATTGGGCAATATTTTGTTCAAATCATCTCCAAAGCATTTTTGGCATGCATGCCAAACACAGCCATTTACTTCAATTGCCCTATCTTCTGCCGCTATATATCCATCTACTTTATATTTTCCATCCACTACATGTTCGCCACTTTCCGAATGTGCACTTTGTATTTCCACTCCTTTTGTTTCTTCATACCATTGTAAATATTTCAGGGCAAGCTCACTTTGATTATCAATATTTTCATATCCCTTTTCGGGAACAATTGCCAAATGTTCAGGCTGCAGATGATTGAGTCGGAAATGTTTCATGCATGCCGATGCAATTGTCATTGCATCCTTCAAAATATCGATTCCTTCAACTACTGCTCCAGGTCGTGTAGTTTTCTTTTTGCTGATCTCCGAAAATTTTTTTCTAAAGGCGATCAATGCTTCTGTAAGTATTTGTACATCGTTTGTGCAATATTCAGCCAAAGCTTCATCCAAACAAAATTGATTATTTTTTTCAACTTCATACCATTTATCAAATTCGTTTTGCTTTTGAGGGGGCATTCCTCCATATAAGTAATCAGATTTCGGGGGTAGTTGTTGTAGAGTTCTACCATAATTTTCAGAGATGTTTGCCAAATGCGGGAAAAATTGTTTTTCAGTTACTTGTAGCCCAAATGCACCAATCAGCTTCCCCAGAGCGACTGGACAAAGGTTATACGAGTCCCGGAATATAACCTCATTGCATTTATTGTTGCGGGGAATTTTCAATTCATAAAGTTTATTACCACGACGAATTATTGAGGGAACAACGCCATTTACATATATTTCTTTGAACACCATAATCATATCATAACGCCCTCCATTGTGTGAAAATGCCATTGTTGTATATTGAGGGTTAAGTTCAAAAAGAATCCATTGTATGAAGAATCTAAGCGGGTTTTGTGTGACGATTTGCTTATCAACTTTTGTTTGATTGAATGGACGGTGTGAAAATGTTATGGATCGATTGTTCCCGCAGATTGTACAACTATTTCCTTTTTGCCTTAGAGGTGAGCGCCATAATTGTTCATTTTCCATGCATTTTGTACAAGTTACTGTTGCTGCGATAAAGTTTACGTTGTGTAGCCGTCTTTCTTCATTATCATTTTTTATCACTTCATTTTGTGTGGCCTCAAAATCGAAAGTAACCAGACGATAATCAACTCCTTTTTTCAGTTCCAAAGGGCGAATAAAACATCCTCTATCCACGTTGTGAAACTGACGACAAATTTGACACCACTTTTGACCACAAACATGTTTCTTTTCAGCCTCTCTCTTGTAATTTTTCATTGACCAGATTACTCCACATTTATCACACTGTTTTGTTTGGCGGCAATTGCTAATCTTTTTGTGATGGTTGAAGCATTCTCCATTCAAATATATTTTCCCACATTCATCACATTTCTTGTAAAAGTCTCCTGTTGCCACACAAGGTCGTTCACTTCCAATGCGTCCACATAATCTGCAGAGAGATTTACATTTCGAATCATGTTCCTTTGACTTTCGAAACTTTTTTTCACAAGTAAAGCAGTATTTGTGTTTCAACCCAAACATACCTCCAACAAATCTTATTCCATCAAAATGGTTATTTTTGTGAAAAATTGAAATAGGCATGTTAAAATTATCGTTCCCATATTTGAATATAGGTTTCTCACTGATACTTCCAAAAATAAATACTTTAAATTTATAGCCTGCATCCTTGTATTTATTATTCCAAAAATCGACAACAACTGGTACATATTCCACAGCATCATATTCAGGAAGATCATGAGGGATTTTTGCTGATTTTAGGAGGTTGAAAACATCATCCATTTGTCTGTCGCCATTTTTTAAATATCTTGAAAAGTTCCATTTAGCGCCCAATTCTTTAGCAAAATATTTTCTTGTTATTTCCAGCGCATAGAATAAACATAAATTGTTTGGGTTTGAAATCTTTATTAATCGATCAATATTTATATGTGTAATTATTGCAGAATTTTCTTGGGGTGCGCGTCCTCTAATTGATTGATTCTTTGGCAATGATGAAATACCAAGTGTCTGGATTTTAACTGTGAATGGTTGGCCAAGAAGAGAACCTTTTTCTATCTTAGATTGAGAAACAAGCTGGAATCTATTGAGAATGTTATCGATAGTATCATTTTCAATTTTTCTAATTGGGATCCATATGTCGTTGTCTAATAATTGTGAAGATATTATAGCTCCTAATCGGTCAGGTTCAATTGATTGCCTTCTTGAGGCTTCGATGGTTTGATCCATACAATCGTGAATTATTTTTCTCAGTAGTTCCTCCGGATTCTCGGGTAGCTTTTCAATAATAAACTTGCCTGTTGTCCCCATTATTTTAAATTTACGGTTAAATGATGTATCGTAGTCTATTTGTCGATAATAGTTTTGCAAATTTAATGCACCTGCACCGGTTTGTGTGTCAATGAATAAATGTGGAAGATCTCGGATGAGAAATCTTGCGCGCTTATTGGCAGAGGGTGCAGTTTGATCGTTATTAAATGCCATTTTAAAGTTTTTAATTTTAAATTGTAGAAAGTGTTTTTGGTTTTTGAGTTAAATGGTTAAGAATGGTTAAGACATTTTGAATGTTGGTATTTCGAAATAATTAGCTCCGCCCCTTACATTTGTACTTCCGTTCATTTTTTAAAATCATTTTAATTTTTTCTAGAATTTTGTCAAATTTTATCCCTCATTTTTTAATTTATAATTATTTATTAAATTTTATGATTTATTTTTATTATTTTTTGACATTTTAAAATTTTTTGGAAATTTTTTAAATTTTGAAATGCCCGCCAATTTTTAAATTTGGCATTTTGAAATAAACCTCTTACATTTGTACTTCCGGTCATTTTTTAAAATCATTTTATATTTTATGCAAAATTTTGTAAATTTTATTTTTTATCATTTTTATTTAATTAAAACTATTTTTATTTAATTTTTTAAATTTATTTTTAAATTAGAAAGTCCCTTTTAACTTTTTCTTTCAAGACTAAAAATATTTCAAAATGTCAAATTTCATATTGTCAAATTTTTTAACAAAATGTGTCTCACCATGAAACGTCACAAAAATTATTTTTTCATTCCTCACAAAGGCCAAAGGGAAATTAATAATGGAATGATTAATTACCCTAATTAATCGTGATTAATTACCCCTAAACACTTCCCAAAGAAAGGTGTTTGTGGCAAATATCAAAAAATACCCCCTATAGGCTTAGGTTTTATTGATGAGGGAGTGAGCGATTTGGGTAGTGTGAGCGAAAAGGGTATGAGCGATTTGGGTAGAAGAGCGATTTGGGAGCGATTTGGGTATTATTAACTACTGCCCTGCAACCAAGGGGTGGTAAGAAAAGGGTGGTTAGGAATATGAAATGTGTCTTTACCTTTTGGTTTCCTTTGATTTGCCGACTTCCTCCTCCATAAGGTTGCACGCAGTGCAACCTTGTGGGGGGGGGGGGGGGGGTAACTACTTTTGTTGGTCTATGGTGTAGTGGTTAAGTTTACTGACTTCGCTCACTTTTATGTTTTTTGGGGCCGGGTTCGAATCCAGACATGGGAAATAAAATTAAACAATTTTTCCTTCCAAAAATAAATCTTTTATGATTTTATTTTGATTTTAAATCTGTAAATTTATTTTTTAATACATATGTTAAACCTGAAAAATTTTAAAAATTTTGATTTAGTAATGAATTTTCCAAAATTTTCACCTGATGGGCAGAAAATAAAAGAAATCTGACTTAAGGACCTCCGAAATTCTCAAAATTTTCGCCTGCGGCGCAGGAAAGTGATTTGAGATTAGGAGGGATATCTGGAGATTAAGATGTGAAAATATCTCAACCAAATATCTCGACCTTTATAAAATGTCTCGACCTTTATATCTCGACCAAATCCCTCAACATTCCCGTTAAGTCTAATTACAGATTTCTTTATTTACAGGACTGCAGGCGAAAATTTTGAAAAATATTTGGAAGGATTAGAATTTTTAACAAATTTCGCATTTTCGCGTTTCGCATCTTTCGCATTTTTCACATTTTTTGGCGCGAAAAGTTTCGCATTCCGCATTTCGCTTTTTATTTTTTGATTTCGCCCAGTCCTGGTATCCAGCCCCTTTTCCCCCATTTCGGAGGGGGCTCTAGCCCGCCCCTAGATACGCGCATGCCACAACGGATAACAGTCTAACAAGTGGATATCCCGAACTTTGACTAAAAATTTTTCGATGTAACGCACAACATTGTGTAGACCGGGGCAGGTTTACCAGCTATTGGGTAACCAGATGGAGGGGCTGTCGGCTAAAGCTCCCTCCGAATTTTTTTTAAATTTTGCAACTCTAGTTGAGATCAGGTCCGTAGCCAAGGGGGTAGGGGGCGCAGAAAAATATTCCCTCCCTTGGCCTCCCCCCCTCTGAAAAAAATCATGTGTGGGCCTGGTTGAGTGAATACTCTCGCAAGACTTGTTAAAATTAAATATACATACTTTTGTTGGACCACTTTGCTAACATAAAGGTAGAAGAAATCGGCATACAAAACAGTTTGAACAATACCAGCTACCAAAGCAATAATGTCCAAAAAATCCTCTAAATTTAAAAATAAAATTTAAAAAAAATTTCAAACCCATATAATAACGATAAACCCAATTGAGAATATAAAGACCGCGATAAATACCTGAAAAAATTATTTTGAATTAAAAAAAAATTTAAACCTAGAGCAAAAAGATAATGGGCAGTTATAGTTTCTGCCGATCCTGTTTTTGAAAGCATAAAAAGCTGGGGCATAATAGCAACCGATTCAAGGTAGATACTGAAAGTCCAAAGCACCTGAAAAATTAAAGAGGAATTTTCTCATTAATTTTTGACTTTAAATAATTCTCAAGGGAATAATGTTGGTTGGTACACAAATCCGAAACAGAAAAGGCTTAGATATCAGGGTGTCTCGTTCCAATTCATCAAAAAGGGGTATCACACCTCAAAAAAGAGGCAAAAATGGGTCAAAACGATCGAAAATGGAGCAAAAAAGGGGGCCCCAGACGAAATTTTTGAGAATTTTGGAAGGCTAGAAGTCCCTGAAAAGAGGTAAAAGGGACACCCTGTCAGATATAGAAAAGTTCTGAATCAAATATAGCTAGAGATTCAGGATATTCAGTTTTCCAAGACAATTTTCTTGGGAGAAACAAAACACTTTCCAATGGGCCACGTTTAGGAAATCAGTTAAATGGGGAGACAAAAGTAAAAATTGATAAAAAAAATAAATGGAAGGCAACCTAAGTTTTTGTGTAAAATTAATAAAAAAACCTCAAAAAAGGAAAAGTCGTGGTTGATTAAAAGCGCCAAAGCAAAACTGGGGAGGACAAGAAATTCAATTCGACAAGTGTCGTGATTTCTAAAAAATATTAAAATTAGGAAATCTTTGGGACAAAAAAATAGACCCTATCCTAAAAGAAGGTCGGAATCGGTTTTTTTCAATACCTGAAAGGAAAGGAAAAATGAGACGAATGGACACGGACAAACAAAACTCGGACGGACAAGGACAGTCTATATACGGACGTCTGTCCGAGTCCATCCGTGCCTTGTCTGATCCGAGTTCGTCCAAGTTTTGTCTGTCCAAGTCCGTTCGCCTCCATTTTTCTTTTCTTTGCAGGTAATGAAAAAACCGATTCCGCCCTTCTTTTGGGATAGGGCCAAAGAATACCTATCAAAAGTGGCTCTAAATTTTTGGTAAATGAAGTAAACTGTTGCTACTGACGAAGAAATGAAAAATAACTAAAAAAATTGTCAAATAAAAATATCTTTTATTTTCCCAAAAAAACCTTCATAACAGTATTATAAATTGACACAAAATTTGTAAAAATGTCCAAATAACGGCAAACAAAGACTAACAAAAATAAAACTTGGGACCTTCCAGAAAGGCCTAAAAATAAGAAATTTAAATTATTTATTCGAAAATAACCTGCACAGGATCTTGTTTTCCATATTTTCCATAGCAAAATGAGAATTGCTACCAAATGAGCTAAGTCAGCTGATAAACGAAAAATGTTCATTTCATAATTCTTTTGCTAAAAATGAAAAAGATTGGGCAATCCCTAAGATATTGGTCCCTAGAAAAAATTAGTGAAAAATGCTCCTTCAATATTTTTGAGGCTTACAGAAAGTAATCGAGGATGTTGAGTCTAGGGATCAATGATCTTAAGGATTACCAAAGATTAGGTAGAAATAAATTTGTTTAATTGAATGAGGAACGGTTTTAAATAATAGAGAAATTGGTGAACGGAGGGAAATTTGACTTGTTCTTTTAAAAAACCTTGACCTTGATTCTTGATTTTGTCTGAGGACCTTGACCAGACTCTTAACAAGTCAAGAAAAAATCGGGGAAAATTAAATGACTTGATCATAATCCAGGAAAAATTAAAGCCTGGATTAGAGATCGAGCTGGGTCTGGACCAAGGCGTGGGTTTTTCCTGTATCCAGAGTCCAGGAACATCCGACCCGGGTCAATAAATCAACCCGGGAACCCAGGAACAGACCTAGGCTTTTCAAAAATCTCGATCTCTAGTCTGGATCCAGATACCGTCCGATCTCGACAAAAAAAAGTCTCGTGAAAATTCATAACAGAAGGTCCTGAGAAAGAAAGAACACGATAGCTAAAAAATAATAAAAAACAAAAAAGTTCCAACCCAAAAATGCAAAATCTCAAAAAACTTTTTTTTTGTTTTTGCAAAAATAAACAACAGAAAAAGCGAAATATACTGAAAGAGACAGTGAAACGTTTACATTTTTTGGCATAAAAATTAAAAATATTTTTGGCGTTCTGTATTTAATTCTGCATATTCTGACTTGTCAATAAACTTTTTTTGTCTTTTTACTTACAACCGCATTGCAAATCTTTACAAAAAGAGAAAAGTTTTTTTTCATTTTTTGTTAGAGCATGTAGGAATTTAAGTTTTGTGATTATGATTAATATGTAGATGATACATAATATTTGCACAAACTCGTTTATCTTTCCAACTTTTATTTGTCTTTTGTTATCATTTGAAAGTAAAAATCCATAAATAAATCTTAATTATAGAAAAGCTATTGGTTAAGGCGAAAAATATCTAGATTGTTTACAATAAGGGTTAAGTGTCGAATCCTACAGCTGGAAAATAACATTTTTGGGTACTTATTGGTTATCCCTAAGTAGTTTTTGCGGACATTTTATGCGGACTCGTTTATGTACGAAAAGGTCAAAGGTTCTCCCTTCCTCGATTTCACTCAATTTTCTCTGTGGCATTTTTCAATGAGGGCATCAATAAAGAAAAGATTAATTTTAAATACAAATGACGGAAAAATGAGGTGAGGGTCTTCCAAAATATAGACCAGTCAAAACACAGTTTTGTCAATTCGTCCAAATTAATCAGACAAAACAAAAATTGGTCCGGAAAATTGGTTCAGAAATAGGTCCAGACAAAAAAAGTTTTCTAGATTATGTTCTATTTTGTCCATGGGATGTGCTTTCTTTGAAAATATCAGTCTATTTATGACATGAGTCATCAGCTTCTAAATCAGAACCTGTTAAAGTTGGGTGTGTGTACCAGTATTGGTACATATTAACTCTCTTATTTCCAGTAAAGCTTGTACTTAAAATATTGATCCTGATGTTTTGTGTTGTTTATATTTGTTGACATTCAAAAAATTAATCTTTTCTTTATTGATGCCCTCATTGAAAAATGCCACAGGGAAAATTGAGTGAAATCGAGGAAGGGAGAACCTTTGACCTTTTCGTACATAAACGAGTCCTCATAAAATGTCCGCAAAAACTACTTAGGGATAACCAATAAGTACCCATTTTTGAAAATAGGTAGTGGAAAATAACCCCTAACCTGCCTTTTTACTTGAATACAATCAAATTTCCACAAAATAAATTATAGAGTTCCTAGCAGGGGTAAGCACATTGCGTTTTGCGTTATTTGCGTTATTTTTTGGCCTTGCGTTGCGTCTTGCGTTTTTTGAGATTGTCTTTTGCGTGGTATATTTTTCTAAATTCAAAAGAAAAATTTTTGTTGTTTTTGAAGTTTATTTTTCTTTCAGATAACCTTAACTTTTCTCATTCAACTTATTCAAAATGTCCATATCAACAATTCGAAGACAGGTGAAAAACGTGGCCTTGAATTATACAAATGCACAGGTTAAAGTGCGAGAGGCTACGAGGTTTTCTTTAAACTTTAACTTATTTAAATAAATTCTAGCAATGATCCATGGGGTCCAACAACAGCATTAATGTCAGAAATTGCTGATATGACACATGATCCAATTCAATTTAATGAAATAATGTCAGTAATTTGGAAAAGGCTGAATGACCACGGAAAGAATTGGAGACATGTAAATTTTTTGATTGGAGTTTGTTTTTTATTTTCAAAATTCAGGTCTATAAAAGTATGGTTCTTCTTGACTATTTAATTAAATGTGGAAGTGAACGAGTTGCACAACAATGCAAAGAAAATATATTTTCTGTGGAAACATTAAAGGTTTTTAATTTTTTGGAGTGTGTTTTGGGGTGTTTTAACATTTATTTTTTTCCCTATGGTTCATATTTCAGCTTTCAAGTCCTAGGAGGAGAGACAATCCTTTCAGGTCTAATTGTTAGGCTTTTTATGTTCGGATTATTTTTGAACAATTAGAAACCTTGTATTTTATCTACTTAATTTTCATTTTTTAAAATCTATGACAAGATCCTCTATCCTAAGCTCAAGGATTTATTCTAATTAGGGTTGGAGTTCTGGCCAACGTTCAACTCATTTTTTCTTGCCTCATTTTTATCGGATGGCCCGACCGAGTCTTTTTCTTGCCAAAATTTGATGCCGACTCGACTCTAGTTCTAATTGAGAAAATTTTTCCTATTCTTAAAATCAATGTCTTTTTATTTTTCTATGTTTCTTTTATTATTTCATTAAAATATTTTTCAGGATTTTCAACACATTGAAGAAAATCGTGATCAAGGTTTAAATGTCCGAACAAAAGCAAAACAAATGGTTGCCCTCCTAACTGACGATGAAAAACTAAAAAATGAAAGAGCTCGTTTTATGTTAACTCGAAAACGTTTTATGAATAGTGAAACTTCTGGAATCTCCTCTGATGGAACGAGAAGAGCTGGGACGAGTCGTAGACGAACAATCGATTCTAATGGTGGACCTGTCGATCCAGAATTTGAGGAGGCTAGGCCTTCCTCTTTGGGTGAAGAGGAAATGCAATTACAAATTGCTTTGGCGCTTTCTAAAGAAGAATGTGAAAAAGAGCAAGAAATGAGACGTGGGGATGATGTTCGATTACAGGTTTGAAAAGGAGGAAAGAAATCTTTTAGGAATTTTTATCGAGTCAATAACTCTGTTAAATGCTTTTTAATGCTTTGAACCCTTTTTTTTACTTTTCAAGAATTTATATTTAAGATAGCGATTGAAGAAAGCAGACGTGAGATGGCGGCAAGATCTTCTAGCTTGAGTTCTCCCACAGGACAAGATTCACCACAAAAGCCGAGCACCTCGAAATCACAGGTTGTTAACATTTTGCAACTGAAGGCAAGGGCGTAGCCAGAGGGGAGGGGCTTCTGGGGCTATAGCCCCTCCCCCTGAAAAGTGGAAAATGAAAAATTTTAGGAGGGAAATGCTGGCTACGCCCTTGACGACATAAGGAGGGGAGAGTAGATAAATTTTAATTCAAAAAATTTTTATTTTTAAGGGAGCTCTAAACAATTTACTTTCGCTCGGTCTAGACGAAGTTTTTAGCAAAACAGCAGAGAATAACGCACTAATAAATATGCAACAGCCTGTTCAGAACGATCCCTGGTCTCCTCGTCCATCAACAACAATTCCAATGATGGCTGGAGGGATAGCTCCACCATCCCTTCCATTTAACGATTCTACTTTAATTCCTTCATCTGCTCAAAACGATCCTTGGGCAGCCCCAACAGTTCAACCTGTAACGACTACAAAACTTCCAACAACCTCAGAAAGGTCCCAAGAATTGGAAGATATTTTTGGATGTTCTTCCCAAACAACATTAAATCAACCTTTACCTTTGGCACCGAATAATGATCCGTGGGCGGCTTTTGAAAATCAAAATATGCAAAATAACAGCACCCCGACACAACAAAATGGGACAAAAATTGGACAACAACGTAACAAAATAAAAACACCTGAATCGTTTTTGGGAGGTTATTTTTTTATAAAAAGATTTTTTAAAGAAATTATGTTTAATATTTAGAAAATTCTGGTCTAGTCAATTTGGATAATCTTCTTGGACCAACTGGTTCTCAAGTTCCTAAAAAGGGTATACTTTTTGATGTTTTTTAAAAATTCGTTTATAAAAGCTGGGGCATGCTTATTTATTGTTAGATTTGGGCTAGCCGAGCCTTTCGAAAAATTTTCAAGTTTTTTGTCTTTGGCTAATCCAAACCGCTTTAATCCGATTTTTTTCACACGTTTAACCAATCAACCAACATTGGGACAACGTTAGCCTGCGGTTTCCTAGTAACTTAATTATATTTGGAGATTGGACCGAAGACAAGATTTGTTCCAAAATCTCAGTTATTGAGAAGGGTGCCGGAATTTTCGTCTCTGGAAATTTCGTCTCCAAGACTTTTCGGAACTTTCGTCTCCAACATTTTCGGAATTTTCGTCTCCGCGGAATATTCGTCTCCAATGAAATAAACGGAATATTCGTCTCCGCAATTTTCGTCTCCGCTAGGAATTTTCGTCTCCAGAGAAAAATTACCTGTTGACGGAATAACATCCCCCGTTGACGGAATAACATCCTCCGTTAACGGAACAACATCCTCCGTTAACGGAACAACATCCCCCGTTGACGGAACAACATCCCCGTTAACGGAACAACATCCCCCGTTGATGGAACAACATTCCCCGTTAACGGGACAACATTCCCCGTTAACGGGACAACATCCCCCATTGACGGAACAACATTCCTCGTTAACTGGACAACTTTCCTTGTTGCCGGAACACATCATTTTTCCTCTGGTCCGTCAACGGGTAATTTTACTCTGGAGACGAAAATTCCTAGCGGAGACGAAAATTGCGGAGACGAATATTCCGTTTTCTTCCGTGGAGACGAATATTCCGTTTTCTTCCGTGGAGACGAATATTCCGCTGGAGACGAAAATTCCGAAAACGTTGGAGACGAAAGTTCCGAAAAGTCTTGGAGACGAAATTTCCAGAGACGAAAATTCCGTACACCATTGAGAAAGGGATCGATACTGAATTTTGATCAATCCCCAAGTTAAATCTCTAATTATAAGTAGGGTTGCCGTTTTTGAGTCGGGCTGACGTTCGAGTCCTTTTTTCGGGCCTCATTTTTAACGAGTTCAAGATCGATGCATCTGTCCTTTTCGTGCCAAAATTCGATGCTGGACTCGATCTTTCGGACCAGACTGATAACCCTAATTATAAGGTTTATGTATTAAAATTTCTAATATTAACTTTTTTTAGCCACAAACCCTTTCCTAATCGGCTCTGCCGCTTCAGCTGCCGCAGCAACTAAAAACAATCCATTTCTTGCAAATGAACGTCCATCCCCTTCGCTCAACGAAATGTTACAGGCTAAACAAGGTGGTGGGGGTTTTGTAACAAATGGTGGAAATATTTCTGGACAAACTACTGCTCCAAGTAATTCTGCACCGAATAATGCTTTTAATGCGGCTGGTCTAATTTGAAGAAATAATGAATGAGAAGATGAGTGTTTGGCTGTACTGTAGTGTAGCACCCACTCCAAAAATTTTCAAAACACATATCATTCGATTCGTCTCGGCGAGCTGAGTCGAATGGTACCACTCTCTTTCTGCGGAAATGCCTAAGAGCTGAGATATAGGGCTTTAAAAATCGAAAAACCAAAGAGGGGACCAAGCTGATTTTTGGGGTCAAAAATTCGAATATGCATATGGCAGCTCATTCGAAAGAGCTCGTCGAGCTGAGTCGAATGACACCAAAATTAACGAAATCCGACTTGATTTGACAAAGTTATGAGCATTTGTTTTAGCTCCTTACCTTTGGGCTACGGGCAGGATTTTCTTGCTCGGGAGGAAGCCAGACATGCCGACCGCAGCTAAAATAGGCATAAGTTTATGTTACGAGCCCAGACCCAGCGCCCGTAGACTCCCCGCGAGGCGCGTGCCGCAAAACTCCGCGCGAAGCGCGGAGTTTTGCACAAGCGCCTCGCCGACGCCCCATAGGTTTATGTTGCTTGTTTTTGTGTCGTAACTTTGCCTAATCTTGTTCAATCACGGTGATTTTGGTGTCATTCGACTCAGCTCGATGAGCTCTTTCGAATGAGCTATCATTTGCATATTCGAATTTTTGCCCACAAAAATCAGCTTGGTACCCCCTATGGTTTTTGACCCTTTCGAGCTCTATATCTCAGCTCCTAGGCATTTCCGCAGAAAGAGAGTGGTACCATTCAACTCAACTCGTCGAGACAAATCGAATGGTATGTGTTTTGAAATTTTTTGGAGTGGGTGCTGCACTACAGTATATCCTGTTTAAATTAATATTGGTGGTTTTAAAAGGAATTTCGAGTCTAAACTTTTGAGTCTCTTTTGTGGTATTTTGAGCTTGAGTTTTCATTTTAATTGAGTAGGCCATGAAAGTTTTTACTAAGGAAATTGGTCTCGATCGGCTCTAATATGTATTGAACTAGAGATCGGAAAGAGTCCGTTTCCTTGTTTTCGGGTCCTTTTTCCGGTTTTTTTGAAGCAAGCGGGATGAAACCGGGAACGGGATTTTCCTCCTCCCGGTCAACTTTCAGAACCCGGTTCCCGGACCCGGTTTTTTCAAAATTCCGATCTCTATGTTTGAGCAAAGCAGTTGAGGACTCAAAAGCTAGACTCTTAAATATAATATTTGACAAAATTTTTATTTTCCCATATTTAACTTTCCAAATACCCTCTAATTCTGAGTTCAAAATCCTGAAAAAGGGGATTTCACAACATCTTTTTTAGTTTTAAATCAGTTGAAATAAAATATTTTTTGGATTTTTTGTCTAAAATGTTGTGAATTTTCATTATTCTCGACTGTCCATATTTTAGAGTTGCTAATCCATTTTAAGATTGAAACTAAAAATTAAAAAAATAATTTTTAAATTTAATGGATCAGCAATTTTTTTCGACATTTTAATTATTTTTTTAATCAAAATTTTTACTTCTTTCCCCTTCCCTACTTATATAAATATTGTAAAAAAGAATTTTTGGTAAGGGTGTTGATATGAATAAGATAATAAAATCATATTCTTTCTGTTTGAAGAAAGAATCAACTTTTTTTTAAATTGACATTTATTCTTGTGATTGTGTAACTTTTAATATATTTTAGACGTTTTTTCCTCTTATTATTATGAATCTAAAAAAATTTTTTTATTAATCATATAAATATTCAACATATTTTATGCTTACAATTAAAAATAATAAATTCTTGAATTTATAAAAAAATTTTTATGGTTAATTAACTCGGATTTGGGAACTTTTACAAGTTTTTTTGCCTTTTGGTCAACCTAACGTTCCTTAATACAAATTTTAGTCTATACGTATAACCGACATGATTTTAATTTTCTGCTGAATTATTTTTATAGAGGCATGAAGCACCGCATAGAACAATAAATGATGATGTAGAACTCACAAAAACATTGGAATACATGACTGTGCAACAAAAATCGTGCAACAATCTCGCGATTTACGAAATATGTTAAATAGGTACTTATAGTGGAAATTTAATTTTAAATTTTATATACAAGTACTATATATGGAATTTGTAAAGATGAAATGAAGTTGCAATTTATTTTAAAGAGGAGGATGTAGGGACGATCCGAAGTCCTGTGGGTTACTATTTAGCGTTCAAAGGCATCAAAGACTCCATACACGTTAGGGCTAAACCCGCAAGGATTAGCCATAAACCCTTCTATTCTGGCGCCCGAACTTACGCAACGCATTATACGAAGAGTTATTCTGATTAAAAATGCGACAATTTTGCTGGTGTTGATTGGCATGGGCCTCGATTTCAGGAAATCAAAAAGAAAATGCATCTGAGATTTGATACTCTAATTTATTCGCGTATTAAAAAATTATTTCCATTTCAGTATATTGTAAAAATCTAAACATATAGTAAATCAGAAATTTAGTAAAACCAATATTTTTCATGGTATCTGAAACGTGGGGGAGTGTAGTGTTATTCAAATGCGTTTTTCCGGTACCGGTATTTTCGGTAAATTTTTTCGGTAATACCAACACAACAACTTGTTTTCAAAAATTAAAGAAATCTTTTTAAAAATAATACCTATAAAAATATTTTAAATTTAAAAAATTATTTATTTAAAATTTTCATTTTTTTAAAATCATGTGTTTGAGAAGCAAAGGGCATTATGAAATTTTGACATGTGAATTTTAGCTTCTTTGTGTTGTAATTTTTAATTTTTTTTTTAAATTTTTAAAAAACACGAGGATAAGGGGTGGTGATCAGCGAAACGTTTTGCACGTGTTGTATGTATAATGTGCATGTCTTTTTAAGGGGTGGGGATACAAACTACAAAATACTTTTTCTTAATTAGATAAAATAATCGACAATGCGATTTCGAAAGAGATTCGTCAACGTGTGTTGATGTTTTTTATTTTTGAAATTTTAATCTTACACTCAGTGTTTGTAAGGGGCTCTAATCGGTGTTTAGGTTATTTATGGGATTAAGTGGGATATTGAAAGTTTGAGAAAATAAAAAGTAAAAACATTTGAGTATATTTATTGTGAAATTAATTAAAAAGCAACCCGTTGCTCAACAGAATGGAGAGAGGAGAAAAGAGTCGTGTCCGGATTTCTGATTGGGGCAGTCCAAAATTTAGAAAATTTAAGTTCTTTTTTGCAACTCAAAAGTCAAATTTGAAGGGATTAAATGTGATATTGCGGGATTTGGATGACTGAAATTTGATGAAAACCATTATCTCTCACGTCTCAATCAGGTGTTTTAGAGGTGATGGATTCAGATAAATCGAATTTTTTAAATTCTCTCGGCCGTCCAAAATTCTGAAAATTTTCGCCAGAAAAAAGTTGTATTTTATATTCTCACTTTTATGTTTGCTATACATAGTAATAGAGGGAAATCAAGGTTGTCGGGTTTTTATCGAGTTTTGGAAAATTTCTCGGGTCGGGTGTTTTTGACAGTGATGCAGGGGTTCGCGAACCGGTCAAGTCCGGTTCCGGAACTGGAACCGATAAATGTCCGGAACCGGTTCCAAGACCCTAATGATGGATGAAAAAAGAAGTGAGCAAAAGATGGAAGCTTGAAAGGAAACGGCAAAATTTTGGAATTTCCGCATCACTGGTTTTGAAGTCGAAAAACGATCGGGGTTCAGGTAACCCTACCAATTTCTGTTGCGCATCTGACTCCAATTTAGAAAACTACTTTTTTTCATTTTTTACATGTTTTCAAAAATTGAAAGAAAATTTTTCATAAATTATATAAAAATTATTTTAAATTAAAAAAATTATTTATTTAAAATTTTAATTTTTTAAAATCATGTGTTTGAGAAGCAAAGGGCATTATGAAATTTTGACATGTGAATTTTAGCTTCTTTGTGTTGTAATTTTTAATTTTTTTTTAATTTTTAAAAAATACGAGGATAAGGGGTGGTGATCAGCGAAACGTTTTGCACGTGTTGTATGCATAATAATGTGCATATCTTTTTAAGGGGAAGGGATACAAACTACAAAATACTTTTTTTAAATTAAATAAAAAATCGACAATTCGATTTCGAAAGATAATAACGAGAGGGAAGAGGGCAAAATTGTGACTTTATTATTGACAAAATTTTACATTTTTCGATGCCAATTTTTGTTTATTTCTATGCCCTTCAATCTGTCACCAACTTGCCCTATTAAATTATTATGGGCGGAGTCATTTAAAGTTACGCATGCGCGGAATCTGATGTAAATAAATACTGAGAATTTTTCTCGATTTAATCATTCTTTTAATTTCTTTTATTTATTTTATATAATATTTTATTTTTCATTGTATTTTTCAATAAAATTGTATTTTTCAATCATCCTACAAAGGACCATTAAACTAGAGGTGGTCATTCAATTGAAAGGGCCATTGTATTTTTCGCTGAGTAAATTCTAATTTTGAAAAAATTTCCCCTAACACTAGTTTTAATAATACATTCGCCCACTAGGTCTGGGACCGTGTTCCTTACCCTATCCTTCGAAATTTCGCAAAGTTATAGCCAATTTTTAAAAATTTCGGAAAAACAATTATAACTTTCCGAAATTTCGAGGGAGAGGGTAAGGAATGGTCCCAGACCCAGTGGGCGTAGGTCCCAAACATGAAGAGATGCTTCGGAACCATAGCCCAAATTTGCAATACCATGAAAAATCAAAATTTTTCTTGATTGGACGCATAAAAGTTCATTGGACGCATAAACTAGACCAGCGCCAAAATTTCAGCATAAAAAGGGAACTATTCTATTAAAGGGGGCCATTCAACTGAGAGGACCATTAAAAGGATTATTAAGGACCATTAAGGACCATTAATCATTCAACTTAGATGATCATTTTCAATCATTCTCCAAAGGGCCATTCAACTACAGGGGGCTATTCAAATAGAGGTGGCCATTCTAATAAAGATTTTAGTTCTCTCCCTTTTCAATGTTAAATTTTATTACTTAAAAAATATTTAAAAATTTATGTTATTTCATTATAATAAATACTATATTTTTAAATTAATTTAATAATAAGAAAAAATTAAATTTTAGAAAAAAACAAAAAAATTGAAAAAAATGCGCCTATTGTTTTTAGGCGTATTTGCCTTGCTTATAGCAAAGGGGTTACAAGATGTTGGAGTTTCGGGGTTACCTGAGCATGCTTCCAAAGTTTTGCCAGGAGACTCGAATTTCTTTTTGGAACCGAATGATGTTGGTGAAAATGGATGCACAAAGGAACTTTACAAGCCGGAATTCCAGTTACCTCTGCCGCGTGTATATAATGGAGTTCATAATTGTAATTTTTTTTAAAAAATTTTGATATTTTTGGAAATTAATAATTATATAAAAATATTGTATTAAAAAGGGGGCGGTATTGAATATTACATTATTTAATTATCAAGCATAAAAATTAAATATTTTTTGACTCCAACAAATGTAGTGAATGTATAGGCCAAAACTTTTTCCTTTTAAGCGTCGCAGGCGAAAATTTTGAGAATTTTTAGTCTAAATGACATTTTATTCTAAAAACTACAAAAAATATAAAAAGATCCTCTTAATCCTCATAACCTTCAAAAGAAATCTGAAATCCGTATTTTTAAAAACAATTTTCATCGACCTATCAGAAACCACAAAATGAGGAAAAATCAGCGAATATCGAAAACCTGAACTAATTTTTTTATTCAAAAAAAATTTTTAAATATTTTTTTGTATTTTATTATGTACAACTTTGAGTTGGATTTGAATGAAAAATTGGAGTTTCGTCCAAAATAATCTGATTTTTTAAAATAATTTAGAAACTTGTTTAATCATTTTAATTAATTAATTTAAGCCCTCGAATACAATAGAGCTACGGGTACTGAGGAGGAATTTAAAAGAGTGTTGGAATGGCAGGAAAAATTTTTTAAAGTGTTTTTTGGTGAAGAGAAGTATGAAGCTTACGTAAAATTGAGTGGGGATAAAGATAAATATGACCAGTTAGTGAAGTTTGTAAAACCATACGCAAGAAAACTGAAAGAGATATTAAAAGCGGCAGAAGACAATGCTTCTGCGATATTGAAAGATTTTGGGATTAAAAAAGAAAAATCGAAGAAGGATGTTGAAGATGCATTCGAAAATTTGGAGAAGGCTTCGTCTGATGCAAAACTAAAAGAAAAATTTGAAAAGGTTCTTGAAGATGATGATGTGAAGGATGTTGTGAATATGTCAAAAGAAATTAAAAATGTATTGGGCATACAACAACAAACAAATTTGTCAGATGGAGATGTTATAAAATATTTAAAGGAATTATATAAAATAGCTTATGAGATGAAAATGGAACCTGGTGAACCTGTCAAACGTTCTTGTTACATAACTGACGGAAAAGTTTGTATAATTGACGTCTGTATGTTTTTAATTTTATTTTTAAATATAGAAAGAGTTTTTTTCCTAGTTTGTGAATAAAGCGATTTAATCCACTTTGGTGTGTTCGGTGTTAGGGAAGAGTCTAAGGGACTTGATCAGCCCCGAAGGTCTTCTAGGATTGTCTCGATCACATCCTCTCCCCTTGTATCCTATAATAACTGGGAAAGGGCCCACCGCTTCAGCGTATAGTTAATAGGGGGAAGAGTTCTATTTTACTATATTACAAAACAAAATAATTAATTGGAAATTGGAAAGTTTTAGAGAAGTTTTAGTTATGTGATATAAAGGAAGGATTGAATCTTTACTATACTCCCGTCTAGGAGTATTATGTCTAAAATTTTTCTGAGACAGATTATCCAAAGGAAAAGTTAAAAATGTAATAGAAAGAGGAAGGTTCAATCAGACAAAGGATACCTGGGGCTGTGCCGGGCTAGTATAATCAAATTGACGCTTTTATAATATATAAGTTTACTGCTTATACATTAAGGGGATTAAGGGGACTTTTCGCGCAAAAAAGTGCCATCTAGGCACGGATTTGGCGGCTTCTTCAAAGGAAAAATACCGCACTCATGCACAGTCTTTTTCAGTGGACCCCTTGCCTGTTACATTTGTGGGGGACTTACTCTACTTACATATAATATAGGGGAAACATCTTTAGCTCTGATATGAGCATCATGCACTTATTAAAAAAATTTTTTTTTTAATTCCAATATTAAAAAATTCAATAAGTAATTATAAATTTTAAGATAAATTTTTTGTTTTTAAATTTATTCATGCTAATAATTATTTACTTTTTAGCTGAAATTCATGGTACCTACAATCCAAGTTGGGTTATAGGATATCATTTGAAAACAGGATATTTATTAACAACTCATTGGATTAAGCCTGATTACGAAAATGTTAAAAAATATGCCCCATTATGGCATACTGACAATAAAGAAGATTTTCTTGTCCACCACGATAAAGACAATCATAAAAAACGAATAATTAATCGTTGCTCATTTTTTGGGTTTGAAATTCTCATTTATTGTTATTAAAATTATTTGAAGCTTAGAACCTAAATTATAATTCTGAGGGAGACGGGGATGAAAGCTGGGAAAGGGGGAGAGATCAAATAGAATTATTTTGGAAAAGATCCAAACCTCGGCAATACCTATCATACACAATTTAAGGTATAGTTAAGTTTGTGTTACCCCTTTTTTCTTTCGGCTGTAGTGTAGTGTACCGGAGGTAAATGTTTGGGACATGACATATGTCATTCGATTCGACTCAACGAGCTAAGTTGAACGGTACCATTCACAATTTCAGAAAATGATTCTGGACCGAGATATATACCAAAATCGACCTCACTCCCCCTATGGGTTTTCAATATTTCGGGACCTATACTCGGTCCAAAATCATTTCCTGAAATTAGGAGTGGTACCGTTCGACTCAGCTCGTCGAGACGAATCGAATGACAATGTCACGTCCGAACTTTTACCTCGGTACACACACTACAGCCAAAAGAAAAAAGGGGTAACACAAACTTAACTATTACCCAATTTAATAATAAGCTGTTTTTCACGAATATTTATTGCAAACACAAAACAAAATAAAAAATAATTATTAGAAAATACGAAGTGGATGAACGTGGCTTTCCAATCAACCCAGTTGCGCGTACAGGTTTTACAGGCCGAGGAGAATTGTATCAATGGGGACCAAGTACAGGAGTTGGAGCAATTTTATACATATATACCGAAACTACTAAAGAATTTAAATTTCTTGCTGTTATAAATGGAAAGGATGAAAGATTGAAAGGTCTAAAATAATTATTAATTAAATGCTAATTCCATAAAATTGACAATTAATAGAAATGCTCAGGGTATTTGGAAATTTTTAGACTTTCTTCAATAAAGTTGAGCATTTAAGCAAAAACAACTTTGCTCTTTTTCTTTCCTTTCTTATGGGAAACCTATAATAATTAGACTACCTAATCATTTTAAATGTTTTCAAATAAATCATCTAACGTGTTCCGTACTAGGAGTGATTCATATTTAGAAGTCCTAAAAATATATTTTGCCGTCTAAACTAAAATTAGATACGTATAAAGTCTTACTTGTAAAAGGAATCAAAAATAAAAATTATTCGCTTATAGATAGAAGATATACTACTCCCGGAGGATATGTTGATCCAGAGGAACAGTTTGAAGATGCAGCAAAAAGAGAATTGATTGAAGAGGGTTTAAATCATAAAAAAGAGGAAAAAAAGAAAGCTGATCAATTGAAAGGACACGTGGGAGCTGAAGTTGACGACGAAAAAATGCTGAAAGATTTTATGGGAAAGGGAGAAATAGTATATTATGGCTATAACGATGCGAAAGGGGTAATAAAATTTTTAACTAAAATTTTTTTCTCAAGTTAAATATACCCATATTTGATTACGAATTTACATTCAATTAAATTTACAAAAATTTAATATTTTACAGAATAACACAGACAATGCATGGAACGAATCTATAACATACGCTTTTGAAATTAAGCCTAAAGATTTAGAACATTTCGGAGCAGAAAATGGAAGTGATGCAGTAAAAGCAATGTGGATGACAATAGAAATTGATGAAGATTCAGCTGAAGTAAAGTCCCTTCTAATCAAGAACAAAGGGGAATCAGAAGTTGAGAAGGAGGATCAAACAGTTGAAGATATGCAAATAGATGAGTCAGTTGAGGGTAAGTCGACAGTTGATGAGAAAGAGTCGGAATTTGAAAAAGAAAAGAAGTTTGAAAAGTTTGAACTTCTTGGCAAGAAAATAAAAACTATATTCAGTATGGAGGAAAAAATAGATTTTGTTCTTAAAACGTTCAAGGTCGTTACTTTTAATTTTTAACAAACTTTAATGATTTTGTAGTTTACAAAGCTATAAATCATTTTATCATAAAAATTTTGCAAGATTTATTTCCTAAAATTAATAAAATAGCATTTCAGACATGTTGGGTTGAAAAAGTAAAGGGGGAAACTGAAGAAGTGAAAACTGAAACTGAAAAAGAGTGCTTGAAACTGAATGATAAAAATATGATAAACATGGAAAATATTGCTCGATTTTTACTCGTTAAAATATACAAGGAAGTCTCCTTCGTGGATTATCTCACAAAACAACATTCGAATCAAGGAAAATATCAAGTTAAAAAAAGAAAGGCATCCACTTCGCTTACAGGAAGTAAGTGTATTTTCTATAAAAAAATTATTTATAAATAGCAGAAAAACGCCCGCATGAAGGAGAAGGAGGAGCGCATCAGGATAAAAAAGGAGGTCATCAAGTAGGAGGAGATCATCATGGAAAAGGAGGTCAGCAAGGAGGAGATCATCATGGAAGAGGTCAGCAACGAGGAGGAGATCATGGAGAAGCAAGTCACCAAGAAGGAGGAGGAAAAGGAGCGCATCAAGGTAAAGAGGTCCACCAAGGAGGAGGAGAAGTTCATCATGAAGTAGAAGGTCACCAAGGAGGAGAACATAAAAGTTTAGTAAGAATGAGTCCACGACCTGGTAGTCCTCGATCGCCTAAAGGAATTAAGCACTGAGCTTATTTGAAAGAGTCAGTAAAAGATTGTAAAAAAAGTAAACGCGAGCATATTGCTCCATTGCATCTGTCCACTTTTTTTCGTAAAATGTAGATGTAGATGACCAGATGCTCACTATTTTTTTGTTTATATTGAGTAAGTATTCAGATATTTTTACGATTTTTAATTATCGAACTTTCTGGCAATGATTCTTGCTTAAGCTGACTGCTTATAAAGTAACACAACTGAACAAAAATATAGCAAAAAAGAGGTAAAGGTTAGCACCGATCAGTCATCGATACTGCGACATTCTAGCAGCTAGCGCTTTTGCTCTACCGACTGAGCTATTGGCATTGCCTTTTCTTTCACTAGATTATAGGCCCCCGCCTAGCAAGCTTCTAACTGTTTGCAAGTTGGATCTCTCCTTTTTTCATATAACACTATCATTTCGAAGTTATTGTTGCTAGCGGGTGGGAATCTTGAAATTTTTAATGTGCGAAAAGAATATAAAAAAATATAAAATTTCGAGTCTTATAGTGGATGTTTTATATAAACAGGAAAGTAGAAGAGCCGGTCATTAGAACACTTTCTTAGTTATGTACATATTATTCTTTATGTAAATATTATTTATTTTTCCTCCCATTCATCTATATATTTTTAAAAACATTTTAGCATAAATTTTTCAAAAAAATTTGTTTGATTTTAAATTTTAAATCAGAATAGAGAGTTTGACATATAGGGAGTAATAGGTCGAGGGGAATTTATTAAACTATAGTTACCGTATATCCTTTAATAACTACCCTGGGTAATTAATGTTTCGACCTTTCGCTGGAGGGAGTAATTAATTTAGGGAGGGTAATTATACGAGGTTTGAAATTTGAACGTGTTTTGGGGCATTTGCTTGGGGGTAATTATTGTTTCAATTTATAACTGGATAGGTTAATTAATTAAAGTAGGGTAATTATTTGAGGGATGCATTTAACAAAAATAGGCTTTTATTCGTTTCCAGAAAATCATACATTTTTAGATTTAAATAAAACATTTTTAAAAATTTATTCCAAATCACAATCTGTTATATAATTCTCTTAATACATTAAAAATTAAAGCAAAAAAGAAGAATTTTATTTTAAAAATTTCATTTGCCTTACCCTTTAAAAATTTTGGAAAAAAATTCATAAACAAAATTCATGCTTAAATATCCACTACTTTTCTGTTCACTTTTGACAATTTCTGTAGAAGGTTCATGCTCTTTTTTGGGTTCACAAATTAATGACGAATTCATAGAAATAGTTTCGGTATTTGTTTCGGCCCAAATGAGGTCCACGCTGTTAATTATGGAGGATTTCTGAAATTGTTTTTTGAATATTATAGAGTATGAAATACCATATTACTTCTAATATTGCGACTGTCTCTATTAAACCGACCCCTTCTAATAAACCGACCCTCTAGAGATGATTGAAAAATAAACCGACCGGTCGCACTATTAGACGAAATACGGTATGTATTTTGAGGACGACAAACTCCTCTTAATGATTTTCTGAAATTCTAATTTCAGGATTTTTCGAGTTTGTGATTATCTAAAATCTAGTGGTAAACCAAAAATCATTGAAAATTTACAATTTTCAATGATTGTGAATTGGTCTGGAATCTTCAATATGGATTTGAGGAATACAGAAAATTGGTTAAAAATGTCTGAATTTTATGTTCTCTCGTTACAACGTTGAAGGTTTATAGTATACATATGACACCTTTTTGAGTGGCGGAGAGAAAAATCCCCTTTACTTACCCTAAATTCTGTTTTTAAATTTGTAGAACAAGAAGAAAATTTATTTTTGTAGCAATCCCCATTTTGTTCTTTATTCTCAAATTTAGCAGCAAAATTATTTAAATAATTTTCATTATTATTATTATTAATTTTTAAAATAATTTCATTTTCCTCTCCAACATTTTTATTTAAAATTTTTTCCTCTTTTTTATTTAATTTATTTTTAATTTCTTCTTTAATAAATAAATTAATTGAAATATTATTAAATTCTTTTAATTTTAAAATTATTTTTGCTTCTTCCACTTTATTTTCTTTTTTATTGAGTTTACAGTTAATAGTTTTATTGTTATTACTAAATTTGAGTATATATTAAATTTTAATTAAAAATTTTTTGGATAAAATAAAAATCCCTTGGAGTGAGTCCCTTGGAGTGAGTCCAACCTTGTAGGTCTTCAGGTACACTCTGAGGACCCTGAAGACCTACATCTTTTGAAAGCGGATATTAAAAAGGTTATCAAGGGATTTGGGGGGATTAATAGGATATAGATAGATTTTGTGGGATTTAAAGGGATAGAGATCTCTACACATTCAGAGTTATGCTTATGGCACATACTCATGATCTTTTAAAGTCTAAAATATAGAACTGGGTATTTAAACTGGTATTAAACTCCATAGAGGTGGATACGTATCCCTCTTAATCCCTTCAAATCCCTTTTGATGACCTTTACAAGAGTTGTAGGTCTAAGGTCAATTGGTCTTCCCAAATATCAAAATACCCGGTTTCGGGCCCAACCCACATCCTAACTTTTGTTTTGTCATCCTCGAAAAGACGACTTCGACAAAAAAGATTTATAGAAATTTTGCAAAAGTTTAGCCAACCGGCTGGATTCGAACCTGCGACCACGTTGCTAGGCGCTTTCGCTCACTATATGCAGGAGCTCTACCTCTGAGCTACCGGGGCATCAACTAATGCTTTCTCTTTTTCCTTTTTAGACCCCCGCCTAAGCGTTTTAAATGCTGCTGGGTGAATCATCCTTCCATTATGAACAAAATATAACTTACTCTAAAGATGAACTTGGCTTTATTACAATCAATTTAGAAAGTCTAAAGCTTCTCTTTTGTTGTTTTAATCTTTCATTATCATTTCTATCAACAACAAATTGACTTTTTAATTTAAAAATATTTTCTTTGCTTCTTTTAAGTTTTTGATTTAGACGTTGTGGACGGTTATTGTAATGTAATCTTTGTTGTTTATTTTTGTTGTGACTCATTTTTATTTTTCTGGAAAATTTTGGTAAATAAAAAATGATTTTATGAAAGTTTGGAATTTTGGAAAAATATATTTAAAAATTTTTATGATGAATAAACAGAGGAATGTTATAAATATATGTATGTAGAAGGGGTGCGGTTTTTGGAAAGAATAACCGGAAAAAATTTTTATTGGAGAATTCGAACTCAATTTTCTAACTCAAATTTCTTTACATTTTTATCACCACAGGGGAAAATTTTTGGAATTTCAGAAGAGAAAACATCATAATAAAGGATGGTCGGAATTCTAGTTCAGAGCCGATCTGGTTATGGATACGGATATGGATACAGATAATACCAAAATGCCTGCGTATATCCGTCTGCATCCGCCGTAAATATCCGGGTACGGATACCAAAATCAGTATCCGTGACCAGGTTTGGTTTGAAGTTCTTGTTTTTCCCTTTTTTAAAAATTTATGGAATCTTCGAATTCCGAATCCTGTTCGGACAATCTCTAAAGAACAATAAATTGTTTTGACAAAATTTTTAATTGAGGAATTGAAAGGAGAATAAAAAATATTGTAGTAAATGAAGAAAGAATAGTAACAATTTCACAATATTCTCTCCAATATAATTATAAATAAAAATATTTTTAAACACTTTGTTTCAACATAAAATGAACGGATTTCCTTTTCAATTGATTGATTAGAAAATGGTTGAATGAACAAAATAAAATTTTTCATGAAAAAAGAAAGAAAAATGTTCAAAACATTTGTTATAAATTTTTATTTATTTATTTTTTTATTTATTTTTTTGAAGGTTTGGATGATAAAAAATTAAAAAAAAATATTTTTGGTTGAGGGTTTTACTTTAAAATTTGCATTACACTTAGAGATAAAAATTTCATTTCTGTTTTAACAAGTTAATCTACTTTAAATAATTAAAAGGATGAAGGGGATAATCTCTTTCTTATAATCTCTTTCTTGGTAAAGTTGGGTGTTTTTAACGATGAATTATCTATAGGAAGTATTATATCAATTGTGTTGGTCGAGTATCTGTGGAAACTTAAAGTTAAGAATTTTGAGTTTAAGTGGGTAATTATTAGTAGGGTTCCCATTTATATGGATATAAAATCGAAAAATATGGACATAAAATATGGATATAAAATCCTGAAATATGGATAAAAAAATAGTGAAAAGATATTTTTAAAATCAGTATTTTATGTAGAAAACAATTATTTTGCTTTTATCCTTGCTTTTTAAGAACGTTCTAAATGAATTTATGGATTTAAAATTTTTGTTAAATTTTTTTGAAAATAAATTTTTCCGAAAAATTTTCGGAAAAATTTTTTGTTCAAAAATTTTGAAAATTTTCGCCAATTTTTACTAAAATTTACCAAAAAATGACCAAATATGGACCAAAATATTCAAAAAAGGCGAAATATTGATATAAAATATGGAAATAAAGGCTAAATATGGAAAAATATGGAAAATATGGATTATAAAGACCATTCCAGAAACCTTAAAACGTGCCGAAAACATGTTTTTCGTACGTTTCATAGTCATAGGAATTCAAAAAAAAAATATGGATTTCCATATAAATGGGAGCCCTAATTATTAGTGCTGGCAATTATATGGAAATCCATATTTTTTGACTTCGCCAGTATACATTAGGATGGACATTAAGATTAGGAGCATTTTGAGGTACCTTGGGCGTGCAGTACCTTGGGTACATTGTGCAACGGTACCTTGGGCACGCGATACGTTGGATGTCGCCGTATCTTGGGGCTCGCGGTAGTGGCGAGATGTATAGAAATCAGCAACGATGCATTGTTTTTAAATAACTTTTGGAAGAGTTTAAACATTTTAGCTAAAATGTTTTGTTTTTTGCCTTTTGATTTTGCCCATTAAATGTTGCGCAATAGGCATAGACAAGTTGCGAAATTCTGTTTATTTTTTATCCTATATCTATATTCTATTTAATTTACATATATCTATTTATTAAAATTTATTAAATTCCACGTTTTATCGATAATTTACTAAAGGGCATTTTAAAAAGATAAAAGGCAAAAGGATAAATTAAGGGTAAGGGAGAGAGGTGGGATATTGAGAGATTTTTAAAGAGTTAAAATTTATTGACTTATTTTTATTATTGCTCTAAATTTTAAATCAGTTATTTAATTTTATTAAATTTTATTCAAAGAATGATAATTTAATATAACTTTAATATTATCCTCTATACTACCTTTAATTAATCCCTCTTAATCCGCCTTAATCATTCGATATCCCCTCTTGATTCATCCCATCTCCCCATGAAATATATCAATGATTTGCCACACGGAGCCTGCTTCGAAGTTGGGGCCAAGATTTTATGGGGTCGCGCGAAATAATTTAATAAGTGTCAGAAGTAGAGTCATAAAACTTCCATTTCCAATTATTTTAGAGGGACCTACTTTAGAAGAAAACGGTATATCCAATTCATTAGATAATATTAGACTGTTGATTTTTGAAATGAAAGTTACATACCGTATTTATTCTATTAATTCCCCCGAGGAATTATTTTTTCAGCCCATCCGTGGCATGGGGAATTAATAGAGGGTGGGGAATTATTCGAGGGAGGGGAATTAATCGAGTAAATATGGTATGTAGGAGAGGGGTTACTTTTTAATAAGTTTCCTTAAATTGCTTTTACATACTAAATATACATTTTGATAAATACCTTTATTTATTAAATAAATTTAATGTTTAAATATTTTAATAATTTAAATTTATTTAAAAAATTATTTCATTATATTTTAATTACATAATAAAAATACATTTACATTTATTTACTTTGCACTTTTAAAAATTGGTGTCGGTTTTTTACTTTGATAATTTATTTTTAGACTGTCTTTAAATTGTTTACACTTTTCTTTTTTGTATTTTGATTTATTAAATATTTTAAAAGTACTTAAATAAAAAATAATTTAAATAAATAATTTATTTATTGGCTTATATCTTCGCTAATTAAGAATTATTTTCTTTAATCTCAATTTAATTAAAACTTTAAAAATTTTTTTTAATTTATTAAATCTTCTTATAATATTAATGATTAAATTAAATAAATAATTAAATAAAATTAATATAAAATGTTTTAATTCAATAGTACATAAAAGTTGTCGAAAAAATATTTTAATTTTAAGTAATTAAAATCAGTAGACAATTTCTATGAAAATTAAATTAATTTAAATCTGTTGAAGCATTAAATTAATTTCTAAGTTGGTTAAATTTAAATTGCTATTTCTTGCTTTTAGCTCCTTTTCCCTTTTTGTTTTAAGCTTCTAAATTTTTGAAATTTTTTCCAAAAAAAGTTTTTTTATTGTTATTAAACGAAAGTGAAAAAATGAGGAGAAAACACTAAACTTAATTACTAACAAATTATTTTAAAATTTTAATATTTTTAATTAATTTTCAATTTTTAGCTGAAAATGTTTTCCATTTTCTGGCTTAATTTTTTTTTAATTCTTTTTTATTTTCTGCTATTTAATGTTGATTGTATGTGGAACCGCTTTAAAGGAAAAAAGAAAGAGAAGAGTCTTTTAGAAGCTCCTTTACTTTCTCAACAAAATTATGAGGAAGGGTCATCGTCTTCAGGTACTCAATCCATTCAACATTTTCAACCCAATAATGGAAAGAAAATATTGTTGGTAACTGAGGCATTGTACCCACATTACAAGTTCTCTGTATGTTAAAACAAAATTAACAGAATATTAGTTCAATCATTCGTTTTTAGTTAAACCTTGCAAATTTTCTACATAACAAAGGCAAATATGACGTGGTAAATTAAAAATATTGTTTATATTTATTAGGTCGCGTCATGGACGTTTTTAGATCCAATATTTAAGGGTGTTGTTTTATATACGGGTGATTTTATTAGAGTTGCACCCCGACCCCGTACCCCGAACCCCGACCCCCGTTCCCGAAAGATTTTTCCAAAATTTCCCCGACCCGAACCCCGCCCCGAAAAAAATGAAAACCCCGTCCCCCGACCCGAAAAAGTTTCGGGGTTTTCGGGGTATACACCCCTAAAAACGCCATTTTTAAGGAGAATTTAAAGAGAAAAATTTTAGAAACTTCCTCCCAATTTGCTTTGCCTTTATTATTTTTGTAAGAAAATTGAATGAAATATCAATATTGTATTTCCATATTAACTAACCGACTTGTGGTTGAGTGGTTTAGTCGTTGGTTTTGTCTATATTTCTATTCATATAGGTTAGGGTTCGGATCCAAATAAGGAGAACCTTTTTGTTTTGTTATTTTTCTTTACAAAAACAAGCGTTAAATTTTAATTTTAAAAGTTTAATTTTATTTTTAAATATTATCAACCATAAATTTTTAGTTTAGTCTAAAAATTCTAAAATTTTCGTCTGTGGCTCTAAAAAAGGAAGATTCTATCCCTTGAACCACCCTTAATCCTTCGAAACCCTTATATCAGCAGATATGTCAGTTAATCTCTATGAATCTTCCATAATCCGCCCAAATTTATTTTTTATCCCAGATAATTATCTCCCCAGATTAAAAACTAATAAGAGATCCGTAATACTTCTATATCCTTCTAAATCAATGATATCCCTTGAGACCAACAAAGATCACTCCAGATCCTCTTGCATCCCTTGATATACCATTTAATCCCTAAAATCCCACTTAATCCCTTCAGATCCGCTTATATCCCCAGATAAACTCTTTAATCCCTTCAAATCCCATTTAATGTCTCAATATCCTACTTAATTTTTGAAAAAATTAACGAAAATATGCCAAAATCTAATTATTTTTTAACATTTTTTTCTCTAAAATTTTTTTTACAAAAACCCCGTACCCCGACCCGAACCCCGACCATATTTTGGTCCCCCGACCCGTACCCCGCCCCGAAACAATTCGAAAACCCCGTACCCCGACATACCCGCCCCCGAGCGTTCGGGGTGCAACCCTAGATTTTATATACGGGTGATATTCTTAAAGTTATGATTTTTTGAGCTTCACTACCTCGTAGTGAAATTCACAATCATTTACCCCAAAAATGTTAAATTACCAAAAATGCAACAAAAGAATCAAATAATCTTAATGATCTAAATGGGATCGTTGTCTATGCTAGACAACAAAAAATCTTTTTAAAATTCGATTTAGTGCCCTCCTGATAGAGCTTTTGAAGAGCTTACTAATGATATATCACACTAAATATTATCATTACATATACTTGAGAAAATTTGATTTTCGATGATTTTTCGATCAGATCTCTCTAAATACCCACCCAAAAATTCTCAAATGCTGGGATCTCTTAGAAAAATATGTACGCCGCATATAAAGGTAGCTAAAAAATTAATTTTGACAAGAGGATTTGTTACTGGATTTTTTTCGTAGCGAAATAAAATAAATTTTCGAACAAAACGGCGTGCTGGCCTAATTACCGGAGAGCACATAATATAATTGTTAAGAAAAAAAATAATAATTTTTAAGTTTTCTAAAAGTGTATCCCCAATTCTTCACGATTCCAAATTTAGTCCGCAAACTCAACTATGAATCGAGATACAGCACCCTAAAGTTCGAAAAACCATAGAGGGGACCAAACAATTTTTTGGGGGCGAAAAATTCGAATATGCAAATTATACCTCATTCGAAAGAGCTCGCTGGGCTGAGTCGAATGACAACAAAATCACCAAAATCTGACCTGATTTGACAAAGTTATGACCGCCTATTTTTACCCCTTCCACAAGGTCTCCGTGGAAAAAAGTTTTTGCCGCTGCGGAGGAAGCCGGGCATATCGAGCGGAACGACGGCCGCCACTTCGCTACGGTGCCGCGAGCGAAGCGAGCACGAGCAGTACCCTCCGTGCAGCATAAAAACAGACATAACTCTTGATCATAACTTTGATCATTATCATCCAATCGAGCTGATTTTGGTGTCATTCAACTCAGCTCGTCGAGCCCTTTCGAATGAGCTAAGATTTGTATAATCGAATTTTTCACCCCAAAAATCCCCTCATGGATTTGACCATTTCGAGCCCTATATCTCGGCTCACAGTTGAGTCCAAGGAGTCCTGCAGTCCTGCCATAGACTGGAGTCCTACCGTAGAGATTGGCGAAATTAAAAGCCTTTCTTTTAAGCAATAATAGAAAATCCTCAAGTCACAATCGATGGGAAACAACAAAAAATTTTTAATTGGCTTAAAATTATGGGACAACAATTTGTACTGGGTATTGCTGAGTTTTCTTATTCCTCTTGTGCAGGGGCATTTCCACTTTTTGAAGAAATTGGATTAAAGAAATATATAGCTACAAGTTCAACAATTCCTCTTCCTATTCACTTGCATTTTCTTGGCCAGAAAGGCTATTATTCAATGCCTGGTAAGCATTTATATGTATAACGGCTAATGAGTTATGCGAGTTTATTTCCGAAGACTTCTATCATTCCTTACTTTTAAACGACCCCATGATTCCAAAAGATTGAGTGATTCTGTGATTCTTTTTTGGAGCTGGAACCGCGGAGTATTGAGGCAAACATTATTTTTAAATTTAGAACAGTGTTTTAGAACAATACAGACCCCGATAAGGTTAAATTGACTCCGAATTTATGTACCTTATAACCTGCATTAATTGCCCTCCCTCAAATAATTACTCCACTTCCATTAATTACCCCATCCAGCGATAGATTGAAACAATAATTACCCCCCAACAAATGCCCTATAACATGTTCAAATGTCAAACCTCGTATAATTACCCCCCCCCCCCCTTGATTAATTACTCCCTTCAACGGAAGGGCGAAACAATAATTACCCAGGGTAGTTATTAAAGGATATACGGTAATTATTTATTTTAAAATTAATTTATTCACATTTAGAGTTAATGAATGCAGAAGTGTATTTTAAATATTATGAACAAAATCAAGTTGAATATTTAAATTTGGCAAGGAAAAGGGCTTTAGAAAATAATTTATTAGGAAACCATAAATTAATTAAAGTTGAAGAAATGTCAAAAATGTGGGATTTATTAAGAAAATCAAAATATTATTTAATAAATGTCCATCCACTTGGACAATTTCCCTTTCCAAATATTCCAAAAAGAATTGTTAATATTGGAGGTATTGAAGTAGAAATTGAAGGAATTTTGAATGAAATTGAGGAAAAAAAGAAATTGAAAATTGACTATGTATTTGAGTGGATTAAAGAGGTTTTTAAATAATATTACATAAAAATGCCGAAAGTTGTGAATATTTCTGAGCTCAGTTTCATAACAAATTTGTGAAAGTTCATCAGAAATTATTTACTTTTTAAACAAAAAAATGTTTGGACTAGTTAGTTAAATTAGTTTATAGTAAAGCAGAGCTGGGCTATAGCTATTTATCTCCTTCAGCTAACGCAAAAGGTTATTTGGTGGTGTGTTATCAATTACACCACGCCAGCTAAAAACACCCCTATGAATTGAATAGTATACAGGGTGCGGCAAAAGTTCCCATACTTTTGTTAAGCATAAAATTTGATTTCAAATATTTTCTTAAATTTTATAAAATCTATTGAAAAAGTGTTCATTAATAAATATCTAAGGAAAAGAAAGATTATAACAAATTTCCAAAATGTCTTCCCTCCTCCAGAAATACGCGTCTAATCGCTTATTGAAGTTGGCCCAATATGGTCGCGCACTCAACCACAGTAATTGAGTCCCAGACCAGTTGCAATCCCTCTTAATTGCATATTTTGATATAAATCGTATCCATGGAAGTCTCTGCTCCAATAATTACCAAACTACGTAGTCCATAGCATTCAGATCTGGGGAGTTACTTGGCTAAATTGCTTTGCCCCAAAATCTTGGAAACAACTCTTTACAGATCGTGGAGAGAGGCTTTTTTTTTTAACAATTTTGGAAGCAAGGCCTTTCCTTGGAAGCAATTGCCTATGATTTTGTCTGTTGTGAAAGACGGGGTTGCAAATTGCCTGGGATTCGATTACTGTTGATGAGTGCGCGACCATAGTGGGCAAATTCAGCAAGCGTTTGGACGCGTATATCTTGGAGGAGGGGGGATATTTTGGACATTTGTTATAATTTTGCTTTTTATGCTTAACAAAAGTACGGGAGCTTTTGCCGCACCCTGTGGCTATTTAATTCTTAAGGGTTTTTAGCTGGCGTTACAATTATAATTTAATGTTAAAATCTTAAATAAAAATTTATTTTAAAGACTGATTGCTTTGTTTTGTTTTATACGGGTAAAAACTCCAAGTTCTATGGATTTACTCAGAAACATTTTACTAAATTATTAGACATATTTTCAAAATATGGCAACAAATGTAGATTTGTTGTTCACAACATCGAAGTATATCATTTATTTGGAGAAATAAAAAAAGATATTTCTTTACTGTGGCGAAAAAATCAACAAAAATATATTTTTATACCCAGCGAATACAGTAAATCTGCATAAATTTTTGTGTAAGATTTTATTAAGGAATTTGTTAATATTTTTTTAAATTTTATATGCACTTATGTATATATGGAGACGGATTATTAATAATTAGTGCTGCTCGAGTATCGATGAGAGATTTCGCTTACACCCCCTAATGACGGAAATTTTTTGCCCACTTGAATGTGCGTGTGGTTAAGTAGTTTAAGTTGAACATTCCACTTTTTTGACCATTCCGTTTCTGCGTTCCGTCTGTCACTTTTTTTCTTCCGTTTTCTCCCACCTTCAGCTTTTTATAGTAAAATGA